GAAAGAGAGAGAATGAAAGAGAGAAAGAGAGAGAACGAGAGACAGAGAAAGAGAGAGAACGAGAGACAGAGAAAAAGTCAGCAAGAGAGAAAGAGAGAAAGAGAGAAAGAGAAAGAGAGAGAAAGACAAATAATCATACAAGAGCAAATGTGAAAGACATCGTTGATAAGCAGATAACCTCAACTCGGTGGCCTAAAAGCAGTGAGAAATGTGCGGCAGGGGGCGGAGGGGGGGTGGGTAGAATGTCGGGAAAGTAGCCAGCTGGAGCAAGACAACGGGAGGGGGAGGGGGGTGGGATAGGGGGAGGGGGAGGGGTGGAGATACTGGGGGAGGGGGGAGGGGGCGTGAAGAGCGTGGGGGAGCGGGGAGGGGGAGTGAAGAGAGTGTGGGAGGGGGGAGGGGGAGTGAAGAGAGTGTGGGAGGGGGGAGGGATAGGGGGGAGAGGCGTAAGCGAGGAGTGGAGGGGGGTAGGGAGAATTAACATCATGCTCTGTCTCTCCTGCTACTTATTCTCCGTGCATGATTCACACGAGAAAGGAAGAGAGGTCTATGAAAATAGAGATGAACTGATAGAGAAAGAGAGAGAGAGAGAGAGAGAGAGAGAGAGAGAGAGAGAGAGAGAGAGAGAGAGAGAGAGAGAGAGAGAGAGAGAGAGAGAGAGAGAATGTGCGCAAAACATATATTCCTTAGCTTTTCTAAATACCAGACACTGTTACACAACCACACACACACACACACACACACACACACACACACACACACACACACACGGACGCACGCACGCACATACACACACACACAAACACACATATATGTATATATATTTATTTATGCATTTATTTATTTATATATATTTATATTTATATATATACACACATATATTCATGTATACATATATACATATACATATAATATATATATATATATATATATATATATATATATATATATATATATATATATATATATATATATATACATATATATATATATATATATATATATATATATATAAAGATAGAAAGACAGATAGAATGATATATAGATACACACACACACACACACACACACACACACACACACACACACACACACACACATATATATATATATATATATATATATATATATATGTGTGTGTGTGTGTGTGTGTGTGTGTGTGTGTGTATATATATATATGCAAGGAGCCAAGAAGCAGTCGAGCAGATGACTTCTCTCTGCCAACAACTCCCTAAATTAGCCTTTCGTGTTCCTCAAACGACGTGCTTTTAAGCTGACCAGATCCACCACAGCAATTGATGTACCTGCACCACTGATCAAAGAATTTGCCGTTGAAGTAGCTACATCAATTTGTTCGATTATTAATGATTCACTTCATTAATCAAAATACCCCCAATGACAGGGAGATCGGATATGCCACTCCAATCCCCAAAGTAGGACCTCTGCCCTTCCTTGTCATCATCAGCGATGCCCTCACTGACACTCCACGACGAGGGAAGTATGTAGACGATTCACCTAGAGATTAGCAACACAACAACCAGATTATAATAACCACCAGTCAACCCTCGCCAGTCTCATCAGTCGGACCAAAAATAACCATGTGTCAACCAACCTAAAAAAAACAAAAAAACTCCGTCCTGATGCATTTTTATCTCGCCAGGACGACTTCTTCTCCCTTCACTCTCGGCAACCGCACACTGGGAAGTTGTTCCACCAAAATACTAGGCTTTATAACAGACAAGTTGAGCTGGAACAAAGATGTGGTCTCGGTCCTCAAATCCGTATCCAACAGGCTGTATATACTGCGTCGTTTGCGGTCCCTTGGCACGTCAGCTCCGTCCGTCCAAACCTCGTGTATGTACCTCCTGCATGGTCATCAAGCCTAATCCTCGCCCGCCGGAGAGCAATAGAACGACTGCAACGGCGTGCCACTAGAATCAATTTTGGCCCTTGCACCCCCTACCGAGAAGCAGCGCGTCTCTTCTGCGCCTCCCGGTTCCGATATTCATGAACATAGATAGAGATTGATAGGCAATTATACACACACACACACACACACACACACACACACACACACACACACACACACACACACACACACACACACACATATATATATATATATATATATATATATATATATATATATATATTATGTTATATATATTATGTATATATATATATATATATATATATATATACATAAAGATAGATAGATAGATAGATAGATACATGCACACACGAAGACACACACACACACACACACACACACACACACACACACACACACACACACACATAACACACACACAACACACACACACACACACACACACACACACACACACACACACACACACACACACACACACACACACACACACACACACACACACACACACACACACACACACACACACACACACATACATATATCTGTGTGTGTGTGTGTGTAGAAAGAGAGAATAAAATACAATTCACTGTCATACAAAGGCAGAGGTTGAAGCAAAGATTCGCGAACCAGGATCTCCCTCCTCCCTCGCCCTGGTCTCCGGCACCACTATTTTCCACATCATTCCACCACTTTGACGCGCTTTGATTCGGAAAGTTATTACAGCGATTCCTGCGTGATGGCGATGTCCCCGCGGCGATTACGGCTCGGAGATAACCCCAGGCTCACATTATCCCACGCGGTGCTATTGTGTGATAAGCGGCGTCCTCTCTGCGCCTGTCATCACAAAGGGATTCGTCTGCGTTCGTGACCGAGGAAGCGTTTTTGTAGATCCGCGGATTGATGACGCGAATCCGGCACTTGATAAACGACCTTCCCCTCGGCGCGGGGGGCGGCCGGCACGGGTTCGGGATCTGCCGTCATAACACTCGCTCTCGAGAGGCGGAATTATCAGGGCAAGAGGACACGCCCCTCCCGCCGCCACAGCCGAGGGAGGAGGCCTGTGTTTTCACAAGGGCGACCTCGCGCTGCCCGGGTGGTGAGGGGAAGGGGCGCTTTGTTGCCAGGGGTGGACAGTGTGTGGGTATGAGTGTGAGTGTGTGAGTGAGCAAGTTAGTGAATGAGTGAGTGAGGGAGTGAATGAGTGACTGAGTCCGTGTGTGCGTGTGTGTGTGTGTGTGTGTGTGTGTGTGTGTGTGTGTGTGTGTGTGTGTGTGTGTGTGTGTGTGTGTGTGTGTGTGTGTGTGTGTGTGTGTGTGCATTAAAGGAATTAATCGCACATTCTGTTACATGCACACTTCTTACATAGGATAACACATACACCGATACATATAGTGTGTATGTGTGTGTTCATATGGGCAGTAAGCGAAAGGGGGTAATAAATATAAGTGAAAAGGGTAAGCCTAAAAATATGCAATTTTAGTCTCTCTCTCTCTCTCTCTCTCTCTCTCTCTCTCTCTCTCTCTCTCTCTCTCTCTCTCTCTCTCTCTCTCTCTCTCTCTCTCTCTCTTTCTCTCTCTCTCTCTTTCTACCGCTTTCGATTCAGCATGGAAGTAATTCTATCTCCTCAAATTCTTCGTTGCTGTCACTCTCCGCAATCGCGTTGAATGAATGAAACTGTGAACAGCACAAACTATGTCATCACTACCCCTAGCGGCGGGCAGCGTAACTATCGTTTTTCTGAGCGTCAAAAAGAACTCTGGGGAAGTCTGCGGGATTAAAGGTGCATTTTTCTGATTTTGTTGAATAAATTAAGAGATATATGGCATAATTTATTAACACAAAAAACACAATAATTTGAAAACGTACATACGCCTTCTCAGGTCACCTTTAAGAGTTAATGAGGCATAGGACTTTTACAAAATGTTTATATATTGATACAGAAACTCTGGTTGATCATGTAGATCAAATGATATAATAAATATTTCTAATATTAAAATGGGTCTTCATTTTAGTGTTGACTCCTTGAGCCCAAACCACCGCTGATGATGTCGAGGATGATCTGGACGATCTGGTCGAGGGCGGCCTGGGCCTCCGGGGTCAGGTGAGGGTAGATGTCGGTGTAGATGATGGACAGGTCGACCAGGACCTGGTTGATGTCGGCGTTGCCGGAGTTGACCTGGTTGAGGATGTCGTCGAGCGCGTGCTGGACCTCAAGGAGCTCCTCGGGGGACAAGTCGGCGATCACGATCTCCATCTGGTGCTGCAGCTCCTCCAAGGCACTGGGGAGGAAAGGGATCTTTTCATGTGGCTGGCAAGAGATATTCCCGTGCTGTGAAGAATGGATTACAGTGAAGTACTGTACCCTCATAATACTGTTGTACAGTGAATCTGAACATGCAAAGAAAATCAGAATACTATGTTATGAGGTCATAACTCAAGCCGTTCAATATTCCACAGCAATTGAATATAATTGCATTAATCCGATGATAATTTGCCACAGGAAAGCTCGAAGGGCTGCTTTGGGGAGCGGAGTCTTGATAAAAATACTTATATTTGAGAACTTCTAATCATAGTGGAATTTGAGAAACTCAGTTCAGAGCAACACGTGCAGCCACAATTATAATGAATATGTGTGTATATTCTTTCTGGATGTTTGTTGATATACGTCAACTATGCCAGTAAAATATGGTATTTGAGGGGGGAGGCGTAGGGATGGCGTCAGTCAGTGAGGGAAGGGGGAGGAGGCGTGAATTAGAAAGGGTTGGAAACCACTGCCTTCCGGTTAGAATCTGCCCTTCGTCTCTGTATGAAAAGTTTTTATTGACTAACATATATGTGAAACTGTCGCAAAACCTCAGAATCAAACTGATGAAAAGCTTGAAAAGAACTCAGAATGCCAGTCCGGCCACTCACTGTGCGATGTCCTCGTCAGTGAAGCCGAGGGCGTGGAGGATGGCGATGAGCGTGTCCAGGATGGTCTTGGGCTGACCCTCCTTGCCCGCGGCTCCACTGATGATGTCGATGATGATCTGGACGATCTGGTTGAGGGCGGCCTGAGCCTCCGGGGTCAGATGAGGGTAGATGTCGGTGTAGATGATGGACAAGTCGACCAGGACCTGGTTGATGTCGGCGTTGCCGGAGTTGACCTGGTTGAGGATGTCGTCGAGCGCGTGCTGGACCTCAAGGAGCTCCTCGGGGGACAAGTCGGCGATCACGATCTCCATCTGGTGCTGCAGCTCCTCCAAGGCACTGGGGAGGAAAGGGATCTTTTCATGTGGCTGGCAAGAAATATTCCCATGCTGTGAAGAATGGATTAAGGCCATATCACACTAGAACTTTTACCATCAATTTTTGCTTTTCCGTCTGAATTTGAGTATCACATGCAAACAGAATACCTCCCAGACGAAGACGGTTGCGGCCGTTTCCGTCTGACAATTTCCGACTTTATCTTGTGCAACGGAGGCTCTATACAATTTTTTGATGAATTAGATAGAATTAGTTAATGTAAAAAGAATTGACTATTCCAACATATTTCTTGATATAATATGCATAATTGTCTTAATGATAACGTGATTCCCGGGACCTCACTCGGATGGTGCCATGTTTGTTTACATGGACACTGTTTGCTGCCTTTCTAGTATGATAGGGTCAGTCCATTTGTAAACGGAAAGTTCATATGGAAATGCAAACATTGACGGAAGAAGTATCAGTGTGATATGGCCATTGGTTTGAGAAAATTGTGCATAGCATTAAGTACAAACATAACATCAGGGAGGTAAATGTAGTTTTTTTTCTGGACATCCGCCAGTTATGCCAGTAAAAGCAGTATTTGAGGAAAGGAGGCGTAAGTAATGTCTGAAACTATCACAAAACCTCAGAACCGAAGTGTTGAAAGATTTTAAAAGAACCCAGAATGCCAGTGCGGGTGACTCACTGCGCGATGTCCTCGTCAGTGAAGCCGAGGGCGTGGAGGATGGCGATGAGCGTGTCCAGGATGGTCTTGGGCTGACCCTCCTTGCCCGCGGCTCCGCTGATGATGTCGATGATGATCTGGACGATCTGGTCGAGGGCGGCCTGGGCCTCCGGGGTCAGGTGAGGGTAGATGTCGGTGTAGATGATGGACAGGTCGACCAGGACCTTGGTTGATGTCGGCGTTGCCGGAGTTGACCTGGTTGAGGATGTCGTCGAGCGCGTGCTGGACCTCAAGGAGCTCCTCGGGGGACAAGTCGGCGATCACGATCTCCATCTGGTGCTGCAGCTCCTCCAAGGCACTGGGGAGGAAAGGGATCTTTTCATGTGGCTGGCAAGAAATACTCTCGTGCTGTGAAGAATGGATTACTGTGAAGTACTGTATCCTCACAATACTGTCGCACAGTGAATCTGAACATGCAAAGAAAATCAGAATGCTAACTAAGCTGTGAGGTATTAATTGAAGCCATTCATTTTTCCATAGTAGCTAAACTATAATTGCATTAACCAGATAGTAATTTAACGCAGTTGTAGTTACTACAGTTTCATACAAAGCATCTTTTATGATATTTATATGTATATGTGTAAAATTCAAGTATATTGTACACATAAAAATGAAAAACAAGTCTCAGGTCCTTGCAAAGTAGCGATGCGATGGCGATTTGCGAAGTTCTAGCTTCGCCCGGGCCTTCGGCTATGGCCCGGCCTGTGTCAGCTTTTTAGGGCTGGCTCATTTGATTCTGTGACACTCGGCGCTTACCATGGCGGTGGGATTGCCAGCAGGCGCTCCTGCTGCCATGGTGTAAGCGAATCGCAAAGTCTCTTTACCAGCACAGCGGCTGTTGTCGGCGGCCCCTATCTCAGGAATTGTGTGTGTTCACAATTCTCTAAGTAATGTATAAGTGTGGCGTTCGGCTCGCCGCAATGCATGCAACACCTCTCTTCACCTCTCTTCATGTACAGTGGTAACTTAGGCGCATTCTGTGAAGAATGACTTCGGTACCTCTGTTGTTTATCTCAGAGAGTGCCAGTGGTTCATAGCCTGTTGCTTCTGAGTACCATCTGGCCGATGGGGAGGATCTCGTTGCCTCTCTGTGAAGCTGCAGGAGGAAGGAGTTGGCGACACCGGTACACTTCCCCCGAAGTAAATTATGGCTTGGCTTAATGATCATGCAATTAAGGGGTATACTCCTGCCAGAGACGGCTAGTCTATCAGCAAGCTCATTCCCTCTGATGCCAATATGGCTAGGGACCCAGTTAATAATGATTCTTCTACCCTGAGCCAGTATTCTTTAGGCTATTGTCCGTATTGTGGTCAGGAGGTAGATAGTAAAGTAGCTGTCAACAGTGTCTTATACTGTGAAACACATTGGAAGCAGATATAAGTTTTATATGAATGGCCAAATATACATAAAGCAGTGACGAATGCCGTCAAGTATAACTGATGGCGCTTGTCAATAGACAGCTTAGGGAAATAGTTTGCAACCTGTGGGGCACGCCTGGAAAATTTGAAGGTTTGCTGGGGGGTGGGGGGGTGAAAGGTAGATTAATAAGAAAACTATATTTGAAAACTATCCATTATCGTGGAATTTGAGAAACATATCAGAGCAATGAGTATTACCATAACACTTGTGAAGGTAAGTGTATAGTTTTTTTCTGCACATATGCTAGCTATGCCAGAAAAATATAATATTTGAGGAAAGGAGGCGTAGGGAACGTATCAGTCTGTGAGGGAGGGGGACGTGCATCAGAAAAGGATGGAAACCACTGCCTTATGGTTAGAATCAGTCCATCGACTCTGCATGAAAAGCTTTTCTTGTCTAACAGTTGTTTGAAATGAGTGAAGCTGTCACAAATCCTCAGATCAAACTATTGAAAAGCTTGGAAAGAACTCAGCGTGGGCGACTCACTGTGCGATGTCCTCGTCAGTGAAGCCGAGGGCGTGGAGGATGGCGATGAGCGTGTCCAGGATGGTCTTGGGCTGACCCTCCTTGCCCGCGGCTCCGCTGATGATGTCGATGATGATCTGGACGATCTGGTCGAGGGCGGCCTGGGCCTCCGGGGTCAGGTGAGGGTAGATGTCGGTGTAGATGATGGACAGGTCGACCAGGACTTGGTTGATGTCGGCGTTGCCGGAGTTGACCTGGTTGAGGATGTCGTCGAGTGCGTGCTGGACCTCAAGGAGCTCCTCGGGGGACAAGTCGGCGATCACGATCTCCATCTGGTGCTGCAGCTCCTCCAAGGCACTGGGGAGGAGAGGGATCTTTTCATGTGGCTGGCAAGAAATATTCCCGTGCTGTGAAGAATGTATTAAGGCCATATCACACTAGAACTTTTACCATCAATTTTTTCTTTTCTGTCTGAATTTGAGTATCACATGCAAACAGAATACCTCCCAGACGAAGACGGTTGCGGCCGTTTTCGTCTGACAATTTCCGACTTTATCTTGTGCTACAGAGGCACTATACAACTAGATATTTTTTGATGAATTAGATAGAATTAGTTAATGTAAAAAAGAATTGACTATTCCAAAATATTTCTTTATATAGTATACATGATTATAAGTCTTGATGATAGAATGATTCCCGGGACCTCACCCGGATGGCGCCATGTTTGTTTACATGGACACTATGTTTGCTGCCTTTGTAGTATGATAGGGTCAGTCCATTTGCAATCGGAAAGTTCATATGGAAATGCAAACATTGACGGAAGAAGTATCAGTGTGATATGGCCATTGGTTTGAGAAAATTGTGCATAGCATTAACCCAATGGTGCCGGGGAAAATGAACAAAAAATGGGGAAAATATTGTGCCCACTTTCTATGTTTTTCGTGAAATGTCTGCCGATAGATGGCTCTGCTACCGCCTGATTTAAATGGCGGGAAAAACGTATTTTTCACTAGAGCTATGAAAATCGATGGTGTTATTTTTATCACAAACATTATAATTTTTATAATTTTTTTTAACATTAGTAACAGCAAAATAAGATTACGTAAAATATTTTGTAAATCAAAGAAACGTGTAAACGGGCGAGACGGGCGGTGCTCGTAACTGGCTCATTGGGGAATTAGTACAAGTGTTGCCATCTATGCGTAAAAACAATCAAACAAGTACTCACTGTGGGCATAGCACGTACGTACACGTCATACCCGGCACCAAGGGGTTAAGTACAAACATAACATCAGGGAGGTAAATGTAGTTTTTTTTTCTGGACATCCGCCAGTTATGCCAGTAAAAGCAGTATTTGAGGAAAGGAGGCGTAAGTAATGTCTGAAACTATCACAAAACCTCAGAACCGGAGTGTTGAAAGATTTTAAAAGAACCCAGAATGCCAGTGCGGGTGACTCACTGCGCGATGTCCTCGTCAGTGAAGCCGAGGGCGTGGAGGATGGCGATGAGCGTGTCCAGGATGGTCTTGGGCTGACCCTCCTTGCCCGCGGCTCCGCTGATGATGTCGATGATGATCTGGACGATCTGGTCGAGGGCGGCCTGGGCCTCCGGGGTCAGGTGTGGGTAGATGTCGGTGTAGATGATGGACAGGTCGACCAGGACTTGATTGATGTCGGCGTTGCCGGAGTTGACCTGGTTGAGGATGTCGTCGAGCGCGTGCTGGACCTCAAGGATCTCCTCGGGGGACATGTCGGCGATCACGATCTCCATCAGGTGCTGCAGCTCGGCCAAAGCTCTATACAATTTAGTGAAATATAGTTTAGTTTTCACACCTGTGTTTTATATCTATATATCCCATTTCACGTATCTAAAACTTTCCAAGTGAAATTACTCTTAGACACTTGAACTTACGCCGCAATCTCGTCATCGCTGACGCCGAGGCCGTGGAGGATGCTCAAGATGGTGTCGAGAATAGTGCGAGGGACGGCCTGGTCTGCGAGGGACAGGGGCAGGGAAATGAGGAGACGGAAATGGGGGATCAATACGCTGCGTAAGTTACTGTACCGTCATGAGTATGGGGGAAACCAGTCTAAGATACTTATCTCGAAATCCGAGAACCTAAGATGTATCAAATAGATCAATATAATCATGGTTTCAAAACGGCTCGTGGTTGGAAGCCAGATACTGCATATCAAACTGTATATTCAGATTGTAATGGTAAAATGTGTATATCTTTTGAATTTTATGGACAGAGTAAATTATAACAACACCAACAGCCAAAGAGAACAATAATAGTAATCATGAAATAGTAACTGCAGTAATAGCAGTAGTAGTAGTAATAGTTGCAGTAGTAGTAATAATAGTTGCAGTAGTAGTTGTAATAGTAGTAGTAGTAGTAGTAGTTGTTGTTATTGTTCTGTTATCAGTAGTAATGACAGTTGTAATTGTGACAATAATAAATGTTTGTATACCAGACAAGCGAGCGGGTCGGAGGGCGGGGCGGAGCTGCTTGACGGGGGCGGTACCAGGGACCAGCTGGTGCGAGGGCAGGGCTGGGCGGGGCGCGTGGGCGGGGAGGGACGCCGCCCCCGCGCACGCCAGGCCGGCCAGAAGAAGCAACGCGATTTTCATCCTGTTGAACGAATTAGAGAGTTATTAATAGTGATTTTACTAATTCCTTTGTTTGCTAAAGCTTTTTCATTTTGCCGAATATTTTTTTTTTGGAATTTTTAGTTGGTTGAGATTTCATTCTTTATCTATTGTTCATGAATAAAACAATATTTACTTATGCTTTCATCATATGTACTGACAATTTTAACGAGTGTGGTTCATGCTTGATTATTACACTCGCATTTTTGACGAGGAACACAAGCAAGTTATGATTAGCTACACAATTCCTGCGATTCTAACACTCGGAAGAAAACGGAATGGAACGAAATTCAGCGAGAAGGGAATCTTTCCTTTCATTGATATTTCATTAACGGAAGAAGATAAGGAAATAAAAAAAATAGAAAAAATATATATATATCACAGAAGTTATTAAAAGCTAGAAATTAAAAGAAGTCCAAATACATTTCAGTGGCTTAATATCTACTATTATTAGCAAAAATAGGTCTTAGAATCTGAGGATCAAGACTGAAAATATTAAAGGCAAATAAAGCACGCTTCGAACATCTCCTGGACGGCCGTAATACAATCATAAGTAAGCCATAATAATCTTCGAGAGAATAATAAATCTCATGACACGTGTTCTTTTATTTTAGTTGATAGTTCTCTCTAGTAAGTGTAAATAAGATCACAACTTGCTGGTTTATAAAATCATCTTCTGGCAACAAAATAAGTAAATTATCAAGAAAATTCTATAATAATCGCTCATTTCTGTCGGGGCGGTTTGTTTACATTTGTGACGTCATGAAGAAAGTGCTATTTAACCAGGAAGTTCCGTCAAAAAACAAGAATGAACCGGGTTTTAAGGAATCTTAGAATATCTTACTATCAAAGTACAGAGTAAAATGAATAGAAATTAATAAGGTCTCACTGAAGACGAAAAATCAAGTAAATTCGAAATGCTTCGCCACATTCACGAAGGCAACCACAGTAATAGTTGATGATGAACTAACCTTAAAGTGGCTCGCAGAGGAGGAGAATGGTGCCACAGAATAAACAGCCGCGTATTATATACTTTCCGAGAGCAGGCCTGCATCCGTCACTTACGAAACGACCTGCTTTTATCGCTTGCCACACGTTCCTTTTCTCATAGGCAGAGGAGGAAACACGCAGAGTTATATAACAGGGGTATACAAAACGAATATTCCAGTCATATAAATATTTGTTTTTATTCAATCCCTCCCACCCCCCCACCCTCACCTCCCTTCCCATTTAAGAGACCGTGGTGACAACTCCCCGTCAGCTGTTGTCAGAATCCCAGGTAAAAAAAAAAAAAGAAGCCTCTATGTATGTTTGAATGTATATGTTTTTATATGTGAATGTATTTAAATGTGTGTTCGTATACGCGTGCTTTTGAGTGTCCATTTGTGCGTTGTCAGAAGTTGGAATCCTAGGTAAAAAATAAAAAAAATGCCTCTATGTATGTTTGAATATGTTTTTATATGTGAATGCATTTGTATGTGTGTTCGTATACGCGTGCTTTTGAGTGTCCATTTATGCGTTGTCAGAAGTTGGAATCCCAGGTAAAAAAAAAATGCTTCTATGTATGTTTGAATGCATATGTTTTTACATGTGAATGAATATGCATTTATATTTGTATACTCGTGCTTTTGAGTGTCCATTTGTGCGTGGGCCTGTACGTGCGTGTTTGAATGTGTAGACGTGAAAACCTATCAGATATTTTACGTAACGTACATCCTGTTGGCGTATCGGCGCCATGTGTTCCCGAGTCAAAATTGTCTCATGAAATTAAAATGATTACATAAGGTTACCTAATAACATTCTGAGTCATAAAGGAGTTCATCGAATGCCACGCCAGTTTTACACGATGTCAGTAAAGTGTGATAATAAAAATGATGATGATGATAATACTAATACTAATAATGATAATAATAATAATAATAACACTAATAAAAAAAAATAATACTCATAATGATAATAGTAATGATAGCAAAAATAGTAATGACAGCAAAAATGAAAATAATAATAATAGTAATAATTATAATTATAATAATAACAGTAATGATAATGATAATAATGATAACAATAATAATGGTAATAATAATAATAATCATTATTAT